CTCTCGCTCGCAACCGTCCATATTGCCGAGTGCCAACGAGGACACAGGCTTGAAGAGGAAAAGGAAGATGGAGAGACTAGAAAATCTGTAGGAGAGAGGACAGATGTTAATAAGGATCTCTCCCTACCTCTGGTGTACCTCCAGCGCCATGGCCTTAGTTGTTGGAACACAGGCTTCTGTGACGGGGAAATTGAGGGTTTCACATGGCGTTATAATTGACTGAACCAGGGGATGATGGTAGAGAGATCTGTACCGATTTTCTCGACATGGTTGTGGAGTCACGTGACAAAGAGCTTATTGCCATGATTGCCATTAGGATGGTTCGGGTCTTTGTGGTATAGATCAGCGTCTGGGTCGAAGGGGAGGTTCTCATGACTCCACTTCAAGACGCACACTTCAGGGCTCAAAGACACACATGTAAACAAGCATTCTGAACAACATCCAAGCCTTTCGAATTTTAGATCGCTGACGAGCTGTACACACTTGACTTTAAACCCAATTAGGGTTTTATATATCACTAGCAAGTACTTTTTCATAGTTTCCCATTTATTTCCAGCAATGCACTTTTGAAAATTTAGCGCTCTTTTACATTTACTCTATAATTGACCAATGTGATCTTTCCAATGAAGTCTACAACCAAAGAGTAAACCAAGAAATTTAGCAGAAATTTGAATAGGTATTTGGTTATTAAAGTTAGCCTGACGTTCTACATTCTCCTATGCGAAGGAATTACCCCAATGCTCTTGTGGAAAACTTAAGCCCCCACAGGAGGCCCCAGTTATGAATCATAGCCAGTGCCAGTTGGATGCAATTTGCCTAGAATTCTGCATTACTGCTGGGATGCTATAATGCACAATCATCGGCATACAGTGAGTATTTAAGATTCCGAGGGGGAGCTGGTAAGATGCTATTTATCATACATGGGGATGTTCCTCTACAGAACTTTGCATGCAACAAACTCCAAAATAGAATCAATAGTCATTTCGGTAAAAGGGAGGCTCCACCCTTACCCTCCTGCTTCTTCGGACATAAATAGTAGTTCCTCAGCGATACGATCTTGTCAAAGATGAAGTGGATTAAGTGCGTTTCTTGGAGAAGTATGATATTGGAATCACAGGACGAGGCTAATAATTTAAGGTCATTTAATATAGTTCTAAGGTAGTTCCATTATATAATGGTCTTTATTACGGGGGGGGGGGGGGGCAGAAGCCTCCATGTCCTGCTTCTCCTTGAGAGGGAGACGACTGGCAGAGTACGACCTGCTTCTCGCTCCAGAAGCCAATCGAGATCCAGACAAAGTCCTTGCAGGAGTCACATGAACAGGAAGGTGTGATACGGACTATGCTTCGGTATCAGCCTCCTTAAAAGGATTATGCTGGGTTGATGCTGCCATTAGAGCGACCAATTTAGTCAGTTGATATACTTTAATATTCAACTCTTTAATACTCAACTTGTGGTATAAGTCCAGCAATATCATTAGCTTCAGCTGCACTAAGATTGACATTAGTTATTGATGCATAGAAAGTATCAAGTTTTTGTGTCAAACTCTCCACTTTCCTCTTAGCCTCAGTATATCTACTAGTGCTGCACTCAACGGAGCCTGATGGAAACCTCTACAATTAGTACATTTGAAAATTTCCTTAGTATTCCCTCCCCCTGCTGCTAAAACAGCCTCCAAACGTCGAGGTATAGATGCCACTAGTTCCGTCGCCATTTTTCCCCTTCATCGGTGCGCAGCCGTTCCCATGCGTGCAATGCATTTCTGATGATACCAAATCGACTACGGGACCTTTACCTGGCATGTGCCTGCCCATAGCTGCTGAAACATGTTCTATGGGATTTAAATCTGGTGATTTAGGTGGATGTGCCGATACAGGGGTGAAGCATTTCCCAATCCACTTGAAGCATTTATATCCCCATTCGAAGCATTACAATCCCACCCCGATTTATGTAAACCACGAACACCAGAGGTTATGCAATGCTGTCATTTCGATTTACATTATATCCATATATAGACTACTAATAAAAGTTTAATCATTTGATTTACTAAACTGTATTGGATATGACTACTGTAATAAGATCGTATAACAACACTAGCCATGGAAGGGGCTACCAAGATGCCCCGCCCCAACAGAGGTAGAAGGGATCACCTCCTCAATGACCACAAGTAAAGATGATTACATTTTTTCCTGACTGTACATGGGTTCCGATTCCTCACTCAGATAGGGGCAGCCTACCTCTGTACAGGTAATTGACGATGATTTATAAAGGTAAACTTTTGGTCGTGAGAGACCCTTTGGTTGTACTGCAGTATGGCAAATGTTATTTAGAATTTAAAAAAACACACATTTATAGATGTATATATATGTATGTATATGTATGCACACACACACACACACACACACACACACACACACACACACACACACACACACACACACACACACACACACACACACACACACACACACTTACCCAAGACTCGTCTCGTGTGTTACCATCACTTGTTGTAATCTTCCGAAATAAAGAGTCAAGCCGTTAGAACCACTATGTCTACCCCTGCAAACCAATGTTTAAGGCGTCATCATCTATAGGCTTTTACACACACTGCCATGCCCACTGTAATACAAGTTTATTTATTGTACTTACGCAGATGACTCAACAGGTGCTCAGTCATCAAGCACCTGTTTACCCTTTCCTTGACTTTTGGAAAGGGTTTTTTACTTTATATCATTGTATTAAATATTACCAAGATTTTAATAATAATTTAGTAATCATGTTATCAATAACAATGATAACGGTATCGATATCAATTGTATTAAAAAGCAAAATGTGTGTGTGTGTGTGTGTGTGTGTGTGTGTGTGTGTGTGTGTGTGTGTGTGTGTGTGTGTGTGTGTGTGTGTGGGTACCCACATATATATATACATATATATACACACATGTATAAATATTCATACTTATATATGTATATATATTTACAATATATATATATATATATATATATATATATATATATATATATTCATATATATAATATATATGTGTGTGTGTGTGTGTGTGTGTGTGTGTGTGTGTGTGTGTGTGTGTGTGTGTTTGTGTGTTTGTGTGTGTGTATGTGTGTGTTCTATCTATATATATATATACACATATATGCAGTATGTATAAACACATATACATATATATACACACTACACACACACACACACATATATATAAATATATGTATATGTTTATATATATATACATATGTATATGCTTTATATGTATACATATATACATGCTTATATATATATATATATATATATATATATATATATATATATGTGTGTGTGTGTGTGTGTGTGTGTGTGTGTGTGTGTGTGTGTGTGTGTGACATTAAGGTTTGAAAACTACGATAAAAGAAAAGAAAGAAAAAGAAAATTAAAGTGAAAGAAAGATATAAGGAAAGAAGGTAATTACAATAAAAGAAATAAATCATTAGCTAATCATAATAAAAAAAACTAGAAAGAAAGATAGATAAAAAAATTACGAACAATAAGTCTAGAATTTTTTAATTGACCAGCCCTTTTATATCGAAAACTATGGCAATTATAAATTCAAATCATACTAAAAAATGTTGGGAATATTCTTTATGTGACGGATAAAGTTGAGTCGGGAAGACCTTGAACAAAGAGGAAACAGGATAACGAAGGGAAATACAGGAAACACACAAGAATTATGACGAAGGCCTTTTACACTTGAATTCCAGGAAGGAGACTGGAAAAAAGTGACTAAAATATATCTAATTCTCCTAAAAATGCTTTACTTTTTTATACTCTACAATTTCTGTTATATAACTCACCCTTGGCATCCTCACTGACTAGAAAGGAGATACTTACCCTCTTAGGCGATTTAAAACTACGTACTTAAGGAAGGCGGGTGAGGGAGGAACTCTCTCGGAAAATAAAAGGAAATAAAATAAGAGAGAAAAGAGAGAGAGAGAGTCAACACAGAGCTTACATCAAAGAGAGAGAGAAAGAGGGGAGAGAAAGAGAGAGAGAGAGGGGAGAGAGTAAATGCACGAAAAAAATCACAAATACACAGATAAAAATCATCGTGTTATATATATATATATATTTTTTTTCCTTTGCTAATTAGTTACAGATTTCTAAATACGTAACAATACCTAAAAAGGCTTACATTCTCTTTTTCGCTCATATGCTCTTATATCGCTTATGTTCCATTTTTTATTTTGTCTGTCAAATTTTCTCCCTTCAACCACACCATCTCCCACTTGTTATAATACTTTATTAACTATCAAATCGCTCTGTTGTATATATATATATATATATATATATATATATATATATATATATATATATTTAGATATATGCACACACATACACGTGTGTGTTCGAGAGCTCAGCCTCAAGTATCAGATCATTTGCATAGGCCTTCTTCCCTCTCCTCTCTCCTACTCCCTTCCTTCGGCAAGATTTGTCCCGTATAAGGAGTTCTCGGAGTCGTGGCTGCGCAGGCTGGTCGTCTCTCCGCCGCAGTCTGTGCGCGTCGCCCTCCTCTCCTCCTCCAGCTGGGCGTTCGAGACGGGCAAGTCGACGTAGCAATAGTCGTGGTCGTCATCTCGGTCGTCATCGCGGCCGGGGTCGTGCAGGTCGTTGGCGGGAATCGTGGCCTCTCTCGACGACCTGGACTTCCTCACCTTCACTACGACCAAGACGACGGCGATGACGACCAGCGCGACTGCACCAATGATCGCCAACACATTCCAAAGAGGTATCGTTAGCGGAGGCTTGGGAGGAACATCGCTGGGCGAGGGAGTCCCGGTGGCGCCTTCTGATCCGTAGAAGCCAAGCAGAGAAAATGGTAATAATGATAATGATAGAATAATACCAATATTGATGCAGTTGGTAGAGAATATGACATTTGATTGTGACATTATATTTTGCTTTTCCTAAATCTTTACCGTATCAGGTAGTATAGATTCTATTCTTATTTAATATCATTCTATTATCTGCTCAGTGTATAGCGTGTTTCTTATTGAAAAGTTAGATTCGTTAACAGATATGATTGTATTGTCATATAACATTTTTCTATGGAACGTCTTGCCTGGGTCCCTCTCAGGTCTGTCACTGAAAGCACTGTCCTGCTGGAGGTCCTCGCAAGGCAAAGCGAAGTCACTCGCCACTTCCGCGAAATTTCCATCGAAGCTTCCGAATGCCAAGTAATCCTTCGCAGCGTCGCAGGACACGTTGATCTTCAGAGCCTCACTGTAGACTCGACACGGGCGCCCTGAAGGAACAAGAGAAACTTCGTAGAACGGGTTTTGCTTGTATCTTCATAGGTACATGCGAGTATATCTCTCTACGTATCTGCCCTTCCATCTATTCATAACTCTCTTTCTCTCTCTCTCTCTATCTATTTACATTTATATATGCATATATATATGCATATATATATATATATATATATATATATATATATATATATATGCATATATATACATATATATGCATATATATATACACACATATATACATGTATATATATATATATATATATATATATATGCATATATATGTATATATATATATATGCATATATATGTATATATATATATGCATATATATGTATATATATACACATGTATATATATAAATTCATATATATGTATGTATATGATATATGTATATATATATATATATAAATACATATGTATATATCCACATCATATATGTATGTATATATACATATATATACATATATATGGATAAATATGTGTGTGTGTGTATTTAAAGATATATCATATATCTATTTGTATATATATGTATATATACATTACATATATACATACATCATATATATATATATACACACAAGGTACGCATATTATAGGTATATATATTCAATACTATATACATATACCTACATACAATCAGGGAGAAAGCAAAAGAGAATTCTATGCACTGTCAGCAAACTGTTGTAATACTCAATTCCCTCACCATTAACACCACGGCTGACTAAGATTCTGTTCCATCCAGGGTTGGTATAGAGCTGGATGAATTTTTCCCACGCCGGACAGATGTAAGTATCCGTGACGTTCGGCCTCCACTCGAAGGCAAAGTCTCCGGAATCCAAGCCAAGGATCACCGACTGGAGTCGCAGAGGGTGAAGACCACCGGAACAGGAACCAGTCAGACCTTGATGACGGAGCAGATCAATTAATGTTGATATCAGTGGCAGTGAATTGTACAGCTACGCATATCACGTTTATTGGTAAGATTATCATTATGATTATCCTTATCGCCACAGTATTTTTTTCTATTTCTATTATCACTAACGTTACAACGTATCTAAATATCATTATCGTTATCTCTATTGCTATTTTTGCTCCTCGGTTGTTGCTACCATTATCATCATCATTATCATCACTATAACCATATAGCAAAATCGGAAGTGGATGCCTAGAGGATGGATGTTAACAAAGGATTAAACAAGATCTCGGGACCACTCACCGTCGGAGTCAGGAGGGCAGTCCAGCGCCCACGTGGTCGTCTTGCTACTTAACAAGAAGAGCGAGTTGCCTCCGTCTGCACAGTCTTCTTCTAGAGGTAGTGTTGGGGAGTCCACACAAAACTCGGAATCTGCCGAGGAGGATTGATGTATATATATATGTAAATATATTTTTTCATTTATTCATAAATAAGTATGTATATCTATCTCTCTACATTTACTATCATATATATATACATATATATACAAACATATATATACATATATATACATACATACTTATATATATATATATATATATATATATATATATATATATATATGTATTTGTGTGTATATGTATCAAAAAAAAAAAAAATGTAAATAATAAAATGTTGAACGCAACCCAAATTATTACGGTAAATTGTGTTCCTAATAATAAGGTATTAAACACAACCCGAATTAACAGTCTGTTATCAAAGACGTGAAATGGCTTACGATACCGCCTTCCCAAGCACACATAACCGCACGTGATGTCTTGGTTTATTTAACAACTGTGTTACTTTTCAGAGACATTCGTTCATCATCTATATGAAAAATGCTCCTAGAATTCTGAATGATTCAGTAATTATGCAGTGGAAATTAGGAATGGGAAACACAAAGGAAGGAAAATAGCCCCGGACAGAAGTGACGTGGCTTGTCTGCGCACCCGAGGGTATTGGACTGAGAGACATCTAAGGCTCGGTAAAAATTCTTTTGTTACAAGCAGCTGTTTGGGTGAAGTAAAGTGCCGTGAGGTGATGGGAAGTGACATTGCAAAGACGATATCTAATGAAGTTATACACAGGGATCAAGTTTCGACGTAGAGATAGGCTGGCTGTTGACTGCTGGTCACTGTCTGCGTGATGGCCGCTGTGTCTGCCGGCCGGTATCTGCCTACTGGTCGCTGTCTGCCTGTTGGCTGCTGTCTGTGTGCAGCTGTCTCTTTCCCGTTCGTTGTTTACCATATATATTTTATAAGTGTTGTGTCTAGATTAAATTAATGTTTGTATGTCTTCCTGAATGAAATTGCTGTTATATCCATTATGAGCAAGTAAAAAAAAAGTGAGAAGTGAACAACAGAGAAGGTGCAAGTACTGGTAAAGGGCCCAATCCAGTCATTAACTAATTAACAAAATGAAAATAGCCACCTTCACATTCTCTCTCTCACACACATATATGTATATATGGTATATATGTATATATATGTATATATATATATATATATATATATATATATATATATATATATGCATGTATACAAACACACACATATATATATTAAATATATCAATATCATTAATAAAAAAACAATCATATATAAATATATATATTTGTTTTCTTCTTTCGGTGCTTGGTACCATCATGGATCATTCCACTGGGTTGTGGACTCCCATGTCTGTAGGCAATCGAGGTGAACTTCCTTGCCCAGGGGAACAACGCGCCAGCCGGTGACTTGAACTCTCAAACTCAGATCGTCCTGACAGTCTTTGAGTCTAATGATCTATCCACTCAGCCACCGAAGCCTCATATACATATATATATGTGTGAATCTACATATATATGTATATATATTGCAAATATATACATATATTCATATATAAATATATATTTATATGTAAATATGTATGTAAATATGTACACACATACAAACACTTACATGCAGAAACAAGCACATATACATACATATATATATTATATGTATATATACACATATGTATATATATACTTATATATATGTATATTGCATAAATATATATATAGATAAATATATATTTATATATATACTTATGTATACACGCACACACACATATTTAAATATATATATGTATGTATATTTGTAAATATGCATACACACACATATATAAATATATATATATATTCATATATATAAATATATATACACATATCCCTATATATATATTCATATATATAAATGTATATACACATATCCATATATGTATATATATATTCATATATATATAAATATATATACACATATCCATATATATACATATACATATATATATACATATTTATGTATATATGTATGTATATAAGAATATGTATAAATATGTGTATATGTATAAATACGTGGATATATATATATATATATATATATATAATTGTTTTGCCTTTCTTTGAGTACTGAGTCCAGATTGGATGTCGGTTTCTCAGACGATTGTAAATCGTCTGAACCGTTCTTTTAACTTAATTAATTTATGATAACCAACCTTAACATGCGACTTCAACATCGTCGAATGGTTGGAGCTCTGACTTTATTTTTTCAAGATTGTGAGCAATATTGAAACTAATCTTCATAGTGCGTTGCCTGCTCAACATGTACCGCCGGTTCGAGAACCGCGTCTGATTTTTCGAGTCAGACATAATTTTTTTTTTCTCAACCGGCCAGTTTTCCCTGACATTTATCCCTTATGTGACTATTATATGGAATTTACGGTATTCATCTTGAAGTTGCTATTAATAGATTTAAAATTGAGATTACTAAGTTCCCATTTTTATGGTAAACCTTAATCTTTTATCAATCCTTTTTTCATATTTAGGTTTGCTTATCAAGGGGACTCAGTTTTCCCCTGCTGCCCCTTCGTGAATCCACATTATATATATATATATATATACATACACACACACACACACATATGTGTGTGTGTATATATATATGTGTGTGTATATATATATGTGTGTGTGTATATATATATATATGTGTGTATATATATATGTGTGTATATATATAATAGATTTATGAATATATGAATGCATATACACACAAGCATGTATATATATATATATATGATATATATATGTCTGTGTGTGTATGTGTGTGTGTGCTGTTACATTATCTTTAATCCATGACCAGTAACGCCCTTTGGCCAAGGACAGGGTGGTAACAGATACCCATTCATTGAGGAGCATGAGATTATTCTTCAGCTTAATGTAATTATACAAACCTTCTTTGAAGTAAAGCTGTAAGCACGAGGTCATTTCTTATCTCATTCCATGTAATTAAGTCATCAAGAGCTCATTCTTGTCACTGAATATTTCCAATTACGTTTTAATTAGGTCATGTTCTAGTAGGTTTTCTATATATATCACTTAATGAGTTATTCGAAGGTCATAGATATTGCTACACGATTATTTTAAGCATGTAAAGGAGAGGCAGAAAGTCATTATTCATCTTAACACTATATCTACATTAACCACGTGTTTAGTAATTAACCATCACGCCCTCATCGAAAGTAATTAGCACACTCACCATCATTAACACACTATAAAGTAACATGTCAATACACAGAATGAATAAACACATAGATAAATGAATAAATAGATTATACATAAATAATTTAACAAATAAATAAATAAAAGAATGAATAAATAAATATATATACAGACAATGAAATATATCGATAATGAACCTATAAAGAGACAAGATAATACATAAGCGAACCACAACCGGCTCCGCCCGACCACCGACCAGCGCTCGCCAGCTCGATCCCTCAGACGTCCAAGCATGTTCTGCGCTCCTTCCCCGTTATTCACCATGCAGAGAAGGGCCGAGCCATGTACTGTGAACCGTGAGCGTGAATCTGAACTGGACTGAGTGTATAGTATTCGAACACCAGTCCCTTAAAGCTATGTCTTGCAGAGTACAAATCCTTAGTCGGGTGAGGAGACTAGCGCAGGTTGAGGATCAGGAAACAGACGCGGTTATAATTATCTCCAGTATTATTAAAATACATATATGTACGCTCACACACACACACACCATCACACACATATATGTGTGTGAGTGTGTGTATAATATATATGCAAATATATCTACATATATACATATATGAGAGAGAGAGAGAGAGAGAAATAGAGAGAGACAGACAGAGAAAGAGAGATAAATACATATATATATATATATATATATATATATATATATATATATATATATATATATATATGGTAGGCATAAAAGGATAATTTAGTGCAATCACCGTCCCCTGGCCCCCTATTCTGGCCGGCCACTTTGCGATCAAGCACCATCCCAGTCTACCGTAATGTGTGTTATTTAGTGATGTGTGTGATACTCTCTCTGCAAAGGAAGAGTCAAGCCGCACCACTCCATCTCTGCTACCCACCAGTCTTAAGTAATCTCAATACTTAAAGAGCCTCCTACAATAGCCATAAATGTATATGTACATATATGTGTGTATATACACATATGTATATGTATGTTTTTTTTTTTTTGTCTGTGACTCGGCCGCAGTGCCTGCGTAGCGAGTGAAAAACGCGTCAAAAACATTACACGTTTCCTGTCCAGAGTCACTCTCTAAATGTCTTATCAGTACATCACCCTTCTTTATTTAACCCCTTTCCCTCCATTTCCCCGTCCCCTCAATTTCATTACCCCGTCCCCCTTTTATAAATACACATACGGTCTAACTACAATGCAGTGCACAGCCTCAAAAATGATAATGGTAATGATAACAACAATTATGACAAAAAATAACAATATTAATAATAACAATAATAACAATAGAGTTAGAATTGGATTCTCATAGATTCATAATAGTAATGTTGTAAATTATCACCCCATTTTACATTAAAACGATTGGACATCATATCCAAAATCACATGGAATATGATTCAAGACAAGCTGTCAATTTTGTCCGGACGACATATATGACTAATCTAATAAAATCTCACTAATTCCAATCTTACATCAAAATGACGAGACTTAAAGTCCGCAGTCACTTGGAATATATATTCATGCACGATTTGCAAATGTTACCAAATATTAAAAATAATCCATACAAAACGTGAGGTATAAATGTAAAACATAATATACGTAAGGTATTAACAAGAAAGGAACAGGAGTAGAAACATAACGTAAGTAAAGTATTAAATAAGATATTTAGATAACACAAACCTTTTTTTTTAATGTGAATAGTATGGCTTCCTGCACTAGTAAATGATGTTTGATTCTTGTCTCTAAGTGTCACATCAAGCTTCTGATTCTTTTCCAGCGAAACGGTTACAGTTCTTGGCCCTGAAGCTAGCTGAATTCTGACGCCTCTTAGCTGGTGGCCTGTACACTCTGAAAGAAATAAAATGATGGTGGTGTTCTTATAAATAGAGTAATTATAGTCGTTTTCATTATTGTCACTGATATCGGTGTAGTTTTTATCACTATCCTTATGATTATTCTAATTTTAGTTTGTTTTTCGTTTCTTAATCTTAATATCCATTAAATATGTATTTAACATTCACATTTCGTAAGGTAATTATTATAAACACGTATTATAAAGACATTTGGATTTATCAACAAGACAAGATAAGACAAGTAGTACAGGAAAATTATGGTTCAATATCCAGTTTTCTTTAGCCACGTGAAAACACAGTAAATTCCAGAAAGCGCCACTCCTAGTCTATACCTTGAGTCGAACACACCGTCAGGAGACTGAGAGCGAAACTGACCACGAGCTTCAGTCTCAGCTTCATTTTGCAGGAAGACGATCAGCAAACTGTACAACTGCACGCCAGAGGCCACCCGCTAACTCTGTTTTATGTCGGATGACAAATAAAATGTCACGGCTTCCTTTGACGTCAAGACCGGACGTTTGAAAGATAACAGACAGGAATATATTTTAGTATATTTATTTTTTCATTGCTGCTAGGAACAGGCAATTAGTAGCAGTGGCAGTAGGTGTAGCAGTGATAGTAATTGTAGTTATTGCCTGAAATGGTACTGAAATGGTGCTAAGGAGTGAAGGAAACACCAGTAAGTAAATAGGTTAAGCAGTGTCACTGGAGACAAGAAATAACAAAATGAAAAGGAAATTTCTCATACACTCTGCGTCACAGGCCGGGCGTCGTCTAAGAGAGAGATTGTTGTCACACATGCGAGGACACAGGAAAAACATACGCACGTACATCATAAGTCACACAAGAAACATTGACATATATAGGATATACTACACACTAATGCAAACTAAAAGTCAGATAATATTGTATAACATATCACAGAACAAGCAATTATCACAGACAATATAACACTATCAATAGCAGCAATAGAAGTACTCATAGTAATAAGAATTGTAATAA